GTAGCTCCGATACGTAGCGATGCAGACAGAAGCGTGTACAGTATGAGCCAATCAGTGGCAGTAATGACAGAGCATGCGCTGTTAACGCAAAAACTGCGATAGAATGAAGCCGCGGAAGTCGAAGCGGGAAGTGGCGAGGGTTCACTGTTTATAGAAAATATAAAGATTGCCATAAAGTATAAATAATTTTTTGTGTCTGATGAGTTGTCATTATCCGACTAAAACTTAAAGGTAATATATGCTAATTATGTTGCAAAAGCAGGTACTTGGTAATTGAATGGTTCAGTGCTTTTCGTTAGAAAGTGCTAGCTTGTGTTTATATTTCTTGTAATGACAGCGCTCTTCTGTGATCTGTATATTTCCATTATTAAGTTATCAAGCCAATTTTCCGTTAATACTAATTTGAAAGTTCATAGCTTTGGGATAATAAAAACATGAATATTTATCGAACTATCGAATGTATTCCTAGATTGTTATTTTCTAAAACCCAAAGCAAGTTGGTTCCAATTCATTCTTGTTACATAGAGGTTTACAAGGTTGTGAGTTTTTGAGGAAGTAGACCCTCTTGGAGTACTAGGTGGGTTGGAACTGCTCACATTTTGTTTAGTAGCCAAGTGCTTAACCATTATGCCATCAACTCTCTTTTAATATCTCCTAGGGACTTTGGTGGCATGTGTTGTGTATGTTATGTCTTGGGCTTCTAACTGCAAGATTAGCAATTTCTGACCACCAGCTGCTCTGTGAGAGAAAGATGAGGTTTTTCGCTGGCATAAAGAGTTACAGGTTCAGATCCCTCACTGACCCAGAGCCCTACAAGGGACAATACTGGAGACACAGTGTGGGATTTGTGCCCGATCTGACCCCACCACACTGAGGCAAAAAACTGAGGGCGTGCAACAGAACAGCAAGGGGAGCAGAGCAAGGAAGTCCCGAGGGAATACCAAAAATAGACTTTGGGACAGGGTGTGGCACTCCATCAGACTCCACCGGAAAACACTCCTAAAGGCCAACAAACAGTTCTTGAACTATTTACAGGCTTTTCTTTTGTCATTAGTGTTTTGTTTTCGTTTGTTTCTTTTTCTTTTGCTCTGTCTTATTTTTGTGCATGTTATTATTTTTGCAGGTCTATCTAGATAAGACAGGCTGGATAAACAATCTGGAGGAGAAAACAATGGACAGACAGTTCTGGCGGGACATGGGAGAGGGGGATGTGGGGGAAAGGAAGTGGTGTTAACAAACCCAGGGACAAGGGAACAACAAGTGATCCAAATTGGTGGTGAGCAGGGTGTAGAAGACCTGGTAGGATGTGATCAAGGGCAATTTAACCAAGAGGAATTATTGAAACCCAAATGAAGACTGAGCATGATAGTGGGACAAGAGGAAAGTAAAAGGAAATAGAGCTAGGAGGCAAAGGGCATTTATATTTATTTATATAGGATGATGGGGAAATAGATCTATGTGCATATATATATATATATATATTTATAGGTTTAGTATTAAGGTAGCAGATGGACATTGGGCCTCCGCTCAAGTACTCTCTCAATGCAAGAATACTTTGTTCTATTAAACTGGCATTCCATGATGCTCACCTTCCCAAAATGGTCACTGAAGACAAAGCAGGTGCATAAGCAAATGTGGTGAAGAAAGCTGATAGTGCCCAGCTATCAAAAGATATAGTGCCTGGAGTCTTAAAGGCATGACAATAAACAAGCCATCTAGCTCAGAAGCAACAAAGCCCACATGGAAGAAGCACACCACCTGGTGTGATCATGAGGTGTTGAAGGGATCAGGTATCAGGCATCAAAGAACAAAAAAATCATATCATTGTGAATGCAAGGGAGTTGGGAGTGGAGACCCAAAGCCCATCAGTAAGCAACTGGACATCCCCTTACAGAAGGGTTGTGGGGAGGAGAGGAGCTAATCAGGGTGCAGTGTAGTAATGATGAAACATACAACTTTCCTCTAGTTCTTTAATGCTTCCTCCTCCCACTGTCATGATCCCAATTCTACCTTACAAATCTGGCTGGACCAGAGGATGTACACTGATACAGATAGGAACTGGTTCTGTAGGTTCCCCGAAAATCAGAATGAACTCAGTGGCACTGAGTTTGGTTTAGAGTTTAAGTTTTCCTTTAAGTCTGTTACCACCTTGTTCCTAAATAGATTAGCGAGATTTTTATGAATGTGTATAAACAGAAATAGAAGATCATGATAGTAATTTTAAAATTGTAAAATGACCAAAGAAAATAGCAAGTTTTGTCTCGTAGGATAATTATTTGAAATATATGTTGATCTGTGCCAGTAATTGTAATGGTGTTCTTAGGTATGTGCTCCTGTAATAAGAAAATTGCATTGATACATGTTAAAGTTCATGAAAGAACAATTCTTGTCATGCTTACTTAATTGTTCTATACATATATTGTTGTTGGT